TATGAAGTGACCATTGCTATTTTTTTCATGGCCTTGGGTTTTGAAGTTTTTTTTGTCGTTATAGTCCATTTTCTGGAAGATTATGGGTTTTCACTTTAAGCGGTTTAATGGAGTACCTCTTCGTTTGTTGCCCAGAGACGTTTGACCAGAATTACCATACTTGGACCCTTTGCAAACAAGCGTTTCATATCCTTAAAGAAATAGCTTCTAGGCTGCCATTAAAATGCTCATTATGACCCTTGCTGGGCTTCACCTACAGATGTGTCTTGCTTTGAGCTATTTTGTCTGGTTGATTAAGTGCAAGTTATCTCTTGACAAGTGTTAGAGTAGAATTCCAGCTAAAGCATGGCTAGTCTGAAAAATTTGCCCTCTCCTTCCTAATGCCTATGCTAACTAACCTGTGTGTAAAAGATGTACATGCTTACTTATTTTCAGCCCACTGCAATCTGTTTGCATGATCCAGCTCCCCTGTGTCAGCCTGCGACAGCTGCAGGGGAAAGGAGGGACCACTCTCTTCATTCCCCTGTTGCTGCCTCTGGCTGACACAGGCACGTGACCGGACTGCAGCAGGGTGAAAATAGCTATATATAGTTGGGTTTATTTACTAAAACTGGAGAGTGCAAAAAAACTGGTGCAGCTCTGCATAGAAACCAATAAGCTTCCATTTTTTTTGTCAAAGCATATTGAACAAGTTGAAGATAGTAGCTGATTGGCTACAATGCACAGATGTTGCACACTCTGCTTTTAGTAAATCAACCTCGCTCTATATACTTAGCTACTTTAGACCCGCTTCAGTCCGGTCACGTGTTCCCTTGTGTCAGCCAGAGGCAGCTTCAGGGGAATGGACACAGGTTAGTTAGTACAACTATTAGAATGAGAGAGATCAGATTTAATTTAGAAATGTTTTTACATCTACTTTCAGTGAAAAGACATACAGCCGCATTGGGCTGCAAAACATGAACCCATAAAACAGAAAAGAAAACCAGTTACAGTGCAGTACACAAGGGGCCTTCTAAGTCACATATATCATAGCGTGTATTCACAGTACAGAAGAGTACTTTGACATTAATTAGCTGAAAAGTGGAGGACTTGTGATGGCACTTAAAAAACAGGTGAAAACATGCAATGCATACAGTCAGACCATATAGCTTCAAATTTATGTGTCACCCTTGATTACAAGTAGATAATAGGTATGTTTTTTAAAGACTATGCATTTGAAAAATGTAATTAATCCAGTCAGAAGGTGGATGGGGCGAAGTCCATTTTAAGGCAATCCTTTTATGAGCCAGAAATGGTGTTGTAGAGGGAGTATCAAATCCTCTTCCATAGAGGGTGCTGGAAGACCCAATCTTGGACGCAAACCCAGCTTTCTGACACTGGGCCCCAGTGCCAGAGGCCTCAGATTTCAAACACAGTCAAGGCCCCAGTGCCAGAAGCCAAAACAACCCCAAACATCATTGAACCTCCACCATAGATTTTACCGTAGGTACTGTGTTTTGTTCTTTGTAGGCCTCAAAATGACCCAAAAGACATCTAAGGGGCTCTGTGGGCAAGTTAGTGCCAAATAACCGGAAGCATCACATGCTTGTAACATTCTTATTTATCCGCAGTTGTGAAAGGGTGCCAATACTTTTGTCCAGCCCATTTTTGGAGGTTTGTGTGACATTATGTCGAATTTGCTTTCTTTCCTCCCTTTTTTTGTTTTGTCCCAATACACACAAAGGGAATAAACATGTGTATAGCAAAACATGTGTTAATGCAATACGTTTCGTGAGAAATACATGATTTCCTGGAGAAATATCAAGGGTGCCAACAATTTCGGCCATGACTGTATGTTTTTTAAAAGACTATGCATTTGAAAAATGTAATTAATCCAGTCAGAAGGTGGATGGGGCGAAGTCCATTTTAAGGCAATCCTTTTATGAGCCAGAAATGGTGTTGTAATTTCAAATGCCCACTACCTCTGCCCAAAATCTCTTTAGTTTAGGACAACGCCATAAGGATCCAATGAGGATGGCTGCTTCAGCTACAGCTGGAGTCAGCCCTGGTTCCTATTTTCTAAAAGGAATGAGAGGGGTGCAGTATACGTACGTACGTATACCGATAATGTTGAGTGCACAATTTTTTCCCAATTATCAATTTTTAATAATGCAAAGTCATTGGTAACATTTCTTCCTCCTTTTTTTTTTTTTGGTTTGTTTTTTTTATTTAAGTGTCTAATCTGCATTAGTTGAAAAAGCCAATGGCTAAGCTTTAAAGAGAGAAGTTGCCATTTGTACCCTAGGATTTTTATTTAATTGCGGAAAATAATAATTGATTTAAATGTACTTGTGTAATGTTATAAAAATACCTAATGGATTATTTTTTGATGGTGTATTATTTAGTATTAGTAATTGCAAATGTGATGCTATACAGCAATGACCTTCACAATTTGCTATAGTAGGTTCAGGCCTATGTTTAAAAGGGTTTCTGAAAACCTAAAGTGAAAATGTAATCTATTGCAGCTTATTCGTTCATTGATGTGATAGCAGGGGGAGTGTCATGTTTTCCCCATACCTGCAAGTGCTGGGTTTTTTATAAGAGCTATAGTGTCAAAATGAACGTGTTAAGATCAGTTCTCTCAAATGTGATTTCACAATTTTTGATAGCACACTACACTCCACCTGTTGTTCTTTCGTATATTCTGTGGTATTCAGTTCAAGATGTTGCTGCCATAATTCTTTTTACACTTCCTTCTTCATCGAGTTACTCTTATGCCTCCTATTGCAGTCTTTAAAATAATTAAGACTTTAAAAGGCAAAGGGAAGCTGATTGCAGTGGAAAAGCTGGTTTGCATATTTGAGAAACCAAGTGCCTAGCATTTTAATACCAACAGTCCAAGCCACCTTTCTTTTGTCTCCCAACCATTCCAATCAGCCAAAGTTTTTCAGTATTCTAAGCTCTCCAGTAACCATTTTTTTTCATTCTTTTCAGCTTTCTCTGAAGTGTCGGGCTCCGGAGGTGTGTAATTATGTTTACCAGGTCTATGACTCCATATTGAAGAACTGAAGCAGCAGTCCAGTGGCTAATGTCTTATAGTTGTACACTAGATATTTCTGATGTAAGATGTCTCATAACCCTACTACTCTTTCAGTATATTGGATTATCCATTCCAGCTCTTGGAAGCTTTGCTGTCAGAGCTCTGAGCAGTGATCAAGATTGGAGAAGGCACTTGCTATATATCTCTGGTTGGGCAGTGACTGCCTACGGCTTCACAGGCTAGACACATACACAAATTCCTACATGCGTATATACAGATTAGTAGCTGTATTCATATACATGGAGTAGGGCTTTGTTAACATGATGTATTTTGCCATTTTTATTGTGCTCAGGTTGTTTCTATACTATCCTGTTTCATGTAGTTCTTTCTTGCCAATATATCAGCCTGATTAAACTGGAGTAGTCATGTAGTATCAGGATTGAGTATGGACAGAAGCTTATTAGCTTGCTGTGCACTGAGCCAAGAGCATTTAATGACCAGAATATACTCATGTTAGCCTAGTTTTATATGATAATTTTGTGTTGTCGTATCTGCCATACTTAATTTTCTAGTCGATTAAAAAAACAGCTATACCATTCTCTGTGCCACATGTATACCCCTTGTGATACTCAACCGCTGCTTGATACCTTCCTTTGCAAATGTACATTTCGTGCCAATGCTCAGTGCAGTGCGTACTAGCCTGGCTGAGGATGTCACCTGTGTGTTGTAAGGTCCTGTTTTCAAAGTGATATGAAAAATGTTGTAAAACCAATAAAATGTGTTTCAGAAAACCTAGATGGGTTGTTTCTTTTTGCACAAGCATTTTAAAGCCATTCTATCAGATCTGCGGTGAGCTAATTTAAATAACATAGACCTGTGGTTTTCGGGTCATGCTCAAGCTACTTGGTTGCATCGCTGCTATAAATTGGGATAGGGTGTCCTGACCTTTCCCTTTGCATATGATACAGCTGAATAGATGGGGTATGACCCTCAGATTTAATCCCTTGCTCATTATATTTAAAGCAGATATAAACCAAAAACAAAAATTTAATCTATTGTGAAAAGGCATTGCTTTAAAAGTTCTCATCAGTTAGAGGTAACCATAAATTATGGTCCTAGAATTATTACTCTTGTTTGACAGTCACATCAATATGTAATGTGGAGTGCGATCACTGTTTATGTACCTGCCCCATTCATTTTTGCAGGGGAGTTGAAAAAAAAGAGAGTATTATAATACTTTATTTTTTAATGTTTACTTTTTTTTTATATACAAATAATTTTATTGCTACCACTGGTTCATAGGTGGGACAGCAAAGTCAAGGATATATGATGGGGCAAGTCAAGCAGCAGGGGAGTTTTGTACATTCAGAAGGCTTAAAGTGTTACTAAACCCACAACAGCAAAGTCAGTCTGTATATGCAGTAAAAACATGCTTGTTATACTCACTGTGGAACCTAAGGGGTTAATACTCTGCATTGTGGAAAAAGGCTGTTTGATCCTGACTTCTCTGCCCTTCCTCTTGTTCAAATGGTCACATTGAAAAGACAGACTGAACCTGTAGTTCTTCTGCACATGCTCAGTTTAGTGTGTATTGCTAGAGGTTTGTTTGTTTTTTTTTTTTTCTTGGGAGAGTGCATGTGATCAGCACATGGCCAATCAGCACTGTCCAGACAGAGGTCAAGGGTTATGCATCCTCCTAAAACTGAGAGAAAACTCCTACTACAAGCTTTAACCAGTGCTCTGCTGAAGTCACTAGACTGCTCTAACTGCTGATGAGAAAAAGTATTTAGCAGTTTATATTTTCTAAAATAATTGCATTTTCATGATGTGTGTACTGTGGGAGATCAGATATCGTGAATGCAGGGTCCTGGGTTTAGTAATAGTTTAGTAATACTTTAACCGCCTCCTGCCCACCATATAGTCCCATGACAGGTGCAAGGCGGTTCTCTCATTCTGGGAGGACGTCATATGACTTCCTCCCATTCTCACCACGCATGGGCAGCTGTGGGAGTGCACAGCGCGGCGATCGGCGGTGCGCTGTGTCCCTCGGACACAGCGGATCACCGATCCACGGAAAGAGCCGAAGATGTCAGCTCGGTCATGTGATCAGCTGTGTTCAGTCACAGCTGATCGCATGTAAACAGGGAAATGCCGGTTATTGGCATTTCTCTCCTCACGCTCATGAGCTGTCACACTGACAGCTCGAGAGGAGAGCAGAGCCGGTAATCGGCATTCCTCGGAGGGGACATGTGCACTGATGGTCAGTGTAGCCTCAGCAGTGCCACCTGTCAGTGTCCATCAGTGCCAGCTCTCAGTGCTCATCCATGCCACCTGCCAGTGCCACATATCAGTGCCTACCAGTGCACATCAATGTCACATATCAGTGCCCATCTGAGCTGCCTTTGTGTCACCCATCAGTGCCAGTCAGTGCCACCTATCAATGCCAGTCAGTGCCTGTCAGTGCTGCCAGTCAGTGCCGTCTATCAGTGCCAGTCAGTGCTGCCTATCAGTGCCATATATCAGTGCTGCCTTTTAGTGCCCATCAGTGATGCCTGTCAATGCCCATCAGTGCCACCTACCAGTGCCTCCTCATCAGTGTCTATCAGTGCAGCCTATCAGTACCCATTACTGCAGCCGCTTTAGCGCACATCAGTGAAGGAGAAAAATCACTTATTAACAAAATTTTATGACAAAAACGAAGAAAAAAAAACTTTTTTTCAAAATTTTCAGTGGTTTTTGGTTTGTTTAAGAAAAAATAAAGATGTCACAAAAAAATGATAAAAATGTCATATAGGTACAGTGTTGCATGACCGCGCAATTGTCATTGAAAGTGTGACATCGCTGGAAATTGGCCTGGGCAGGAAGGGGGTAGAAGTATCCTGTAGGCTAGTGGTTAAACCTATTGCTGGAATAACAATTTTAACCCCTTTACGCCAGCCGCACACAAATGTGCAGCCTCCCGGCCTCTGGGCCTAGACGCCGAGCGGCCGCACATTTGTGTTCAGGTAAGAAAAAACATGTGTGCTGAGAGCACGCACGCTCCCAGCACACATCTGGTACTGACGGAAAGGTGCCAGTCTGCTCTTTCGATCGGGACCTTTGCCGATCATGTAACCGCCGTGACAACCCGTCACGGCAGTCACATGATCCCTAAACCACGCCCCGCCCGCCCTGCCTCCCGGCTTCTGAAACTTAAAGGGCCGGGAGGCGCCGGCGGGAAGGGGTTAAACACTGCTAGCTGCTATAGCATATTTAAAATCCCAGTCTACCAGCCGCCATTTATAAACAGCAGTGGTAGACCAGTGATTAATGAGCTGGCTGCATGGGCCAAGTGTAACGGAACCGTCCCAGCCTGCACTGAGTACTTCCGTTAGAATACCGCTTCCCCGTCCGAACACCGACCACAGACACCACAGATTTGAAGTAAACCAGGCACAGATACAAGATATATACATTCAAGGAAACAACCCCGCCCCCCCCCTGCATAATGTCGCAGGGCGGGGCAATCTACCTTTAGTAATAAGAGACACACAAGCAGACAATCTCATCAGGAGGGAGGCTGCTGGAAACACCCCCCACCAAGCCAATACACAAACACATACATCCCATAACAGTTTGCTTCCAAGCAAGACACACAATAGAACAATGGGATGCAACCGCATGGCATTAAACAATCAACAGCCCCCACCCCAATATTAGGACAGATCACCTTGTACCCCTAACAGGCAAAGGGTGACTTACACATAATAGGGATATGGGGAGCCGAGACAGAGGTCTCCCCACCTCTCCAAAGTGAGCTGTGTTCCATGGGCCCCCCACCCAAAGTGACTCCCATCACATATCTCCCCTTTCGGCAGGAGACTAATGCAGGAAGAAACCCCAGATGGGTTAGTTAGTCTGTACTTCCAGTCCCACAATGCCAGCACCTACACAGTACCCCAAGCAAATTGTCCCACACAAACCATTACTCACCCAGCCAACCTCTGCCTCTCTCGTAGAACATACCCACCGCTGGAGAGAAGAACGGGCTGGTCCTTCTCCCTGAAGTCCTCTCAGCCGCAGGGAGAAGACAGGGTGGCTGGGCCGACTCCATCATGTTGGGGATCTGGGCCGACTGCCCAGCATTCCTGGGGTATCGCAAAGTAAGGCTGATATCCTCCTGTCCCAATGCCAGACCCTTTTCTGGGGTTGTCAGTGGAGACCGAAGTCCCATCCACGGACATCGGCTCAAGCTGCAGTTGTGAGGTGCCGATTGCATCCTCTTCCTGTAGCTCCTGCGGTGCTGATTGTTGTGGGCAAGGTCAACAACGCCATGCCCTGATGCCAGCTCTTCTGCTGGAGGCGCGCCAGCTGGTTCCTCCTCAGCAGAAAAAGTCAATCAGATCCCCAGTCTCTGGAACTGGTGTCTGGGGATAGGGGTTCACCATCTCCTGTCCGTGGAACCCAGAAGATGTTACCAGTGCTGGGCAGAGTTCAGTAATGTTTGGCCCTGTTGCCAGCTCTTCTGGAGGCTCACTAGGTTGTTTTTCCTCAACAGAGAAGTTTATCAAATCCCCAGTCTCTGGAATTAGCATTGCCGATTCTTGGGCATACTGCTGAACATGTTTTAGCAGTTGCCTGTATGCCCTTTCCAGATGCTGTTCTTTCATCAGCAGGTATTCTATATCTGGTTCAAGCTCTGAGACCCCTGTGAGACCAAAATCAGCCTCTCTGTCTTCCCACAGGTCCTCAAGGGTAGGTTCTCCTTCATCGCCAAACAGAAAATGATCTGATCCCAGATTGTAAGCTCCAAGGAGCAGGGCCCTCCTATCCCTCTTATATTGTTGCTGTATTGTCTCCCGTTATATTGTAAAGCGCTGAGCAAACTGTTGGCCGCTATATAAATCCTGTATAATAATAATAATCTGTAAGGCTCTCCCACAGCATTCCAGGGCCCCGGGAACTCTGATGCCAGGTCTATATCTCCACTGGAGTGACCGACGTCTACTTTCCTGATCTTGAATCCCGGTGGTGGTTTGGATGTGTTCACAGCCAGGAAGCACAATCCCACCGCTTGCCACCAATGTAACGGAACTGTCCCAGCCTGCACTGAGTACATCCGTTAGAATACCGCTTCCCTGTCCGAACACCGACCATAGACACCACAGATTTGAAGTAAACCAGGAAATAGACTACTTTATTTTAACACAGATACAAGATATATATATTCAAGGGAACAACCCCGCCCCCCCCTCCCTGCATAATGACGCAGGGCGGGGCAATCTACCTTTAGTAACAAAAGACACACCAGCGGACAGTCCCATCAGGATGGAGGCTGCTGGAAACACCTCCCACCAAGCCAATAAACACATACAGTTGTGTTCAAAATAATAGCAGTGTGTTGAAAAAAGTGAATAAAGCTCAAAATCCTTCTAATAGCTTTTATTTCCATACACACAAATGCATTGGGAACACTACACATTCTATTCCAAATCAAAACATGAAGAAAAATATATCACATTTGTGTTGTTCCTCTAAAAAAAATTGATGAAAAGTGAATAGTAGACTGTTCAAAAAAATAGCAGTGTTTGTATTCTTCTTTACAAACTCAAACATTCACTATATAAACTGAAAAATGTTTGAAGATTTTGCTTTCCTTTGAATCACTTAATATTTAGTTGTATAAGCACGGTTTCTGAGAACTGCTGTACATCTGTGTTGCATGGAGTCAACCAACTTCTGGCACCTATGAACAAGTATTCCAGCCCAGGATGATTGGACTACATTCCACAGTTCTTTTCTATTTCTTGGTTTTGCCTCAGAAACTACATTTTTGATGTCACCCCACAAGTTTTCTATTGGATTAAGATCCGGGGATTGGGCTGGTCACTCCATAACGTCAATCTTGTTGGTCTGGAACCAAGATGTTGCACGTTTACTGGTGTGTTTGGGGTCGTTGTCTTGTTGGAACACCCATTTCAAGGGCATTTCCTCTTCAGCATAAGGCAGCATGACCTCTTCAAGTATTCTGATGTATTCAAACTGATCCATGATCCCTGGTATGCGATAAATAGGCCCAACACCGTAGTATGAGAAACATCCCCATATCATGATGCTTGCACAACCATGCTTCACTGTCTTCACAGTGTACTGTGGCTTGAATTCAGTGTTTGGGGGTCATCTGACAAACTGTCTCCGGCCACTAGACCCAAAAAGAACAATCTTACTTTCATCAGTCCACAAAATGTTGCGCCATTTCTCTTTAGGCCAGTCAATGTGCTTTTTGGCAAATTGTACCCTCTTCAGCACACGTCTTTTTTTCAACAGTGGGACTTTGCGGGGGCTTCTTGCAAATAGCTTGGCTTCACATAGGCGTCTTCTAATTGTAACAGTACTCACAGGTAACTTTAGACCTTCTTTGATCTTCCTGGAGCTGATTGGCTGAGTCCTTGCCGTTTTGGCTATTCCTCTATCCATTCGAATGGTAGTTTTTCGCTTTCTTCCATGTCTTTCAGGTTTTGGTTGTCATTTTAAAGCATTTGTGATCATTTTAGCTGAGCAGCCTATCATTTTCTGCACTTCTTTATGTTTTCCCCTCTCCAATCAACTTTTTAATCAAGGTACGCTGTTCTTCTGAACAATGTCTGGAACTACCCATTTTCCTCAGAATTTCAGAGAGAAATGCACTGTAACCAGCATGTACAACATTTGCTGCCTTCCTTCTGTAAATAAGGGCAATAATAGCCACCTGTTTTTCAAAGAATGAATGACCTCACTAATAGAACTCCACACTGCTATTATTTTGAACATGCCCCTTTCAATTAGTGATTCAATTACACAGAATCAGCAGCATGCATGTCATGGCTGTTGGGTCTGTTGGATTTCTATTACTCTACTACACCTGCTAGTAAATTATTTGCCATGTAGAAATATAATTTCTACCAAAAACAGTGATTGATCAGGTTAGTGATGTCTGACTGCTATTATTTTGAACACAACTGTACATCCCATAAGAGTTTGCTCCCAAGCAAGACACAATAGAACAATGGGATGCAACCACATGGCATTAAACAATCAACAACCCCCAACCCAATATTAGGACAGATCACCCTGTACCCCTAACAGGAACAGGGTGACTTACACATAATAGGGATATGCGGAGCTGAGACAGGGGTCTCCCCACCTCTCCAAAGTGAGCTGTGTTCCATGGACCCCCCACCCAAAGTGACTCCTGTCACACCAAGCACCATGACCTACTTCGTATATTAGAACTGTTGGGTACCATTATTAAACCCCTTTTTTCTGTTAATTTCCAAGGAATGGGTTATAACCCTTGAAGAACTGAGGATTGTGTGGACTAGATCCCGGCTGCAAACTTTCTTTTTTTTCCTGCCATTCAGTATGAGATAGTGCCTTCCTGACGTTTCTCCTTATCACAAGAGACATGCAATTTCACCTTAGTCACCTCTGGCCATTTGAACCTCTCGTGCTTTCAGTAGTTGATATGCAAGTACAGTTTT